GTGTACGCGTGCGTACAGTAATCGTACATTGCACGCTGATTTCACATTGCACACTGATTGTACATTGCACCATTGCACGCTGATTGTACATTGCACGTGCGTGTTCATTGCACACTGATTGTACAATACACGTGCGTGTTGACTGTTTATTGCACACAGTCACTGATTGTACATTGCACACTGATTGTACATTGCACGTGCGTGTTCATTGAACGCTGATTGTAAATTGCACACTGATTGCACATTTCACGTGCGTGTTCATTGAACGCTGATTGTAAATTGCACACTGATTGCACATTTCACGTGCGTGTTCATTGCACACTGATTGTACAATACACGTGCGTGTTGACTGTTCATTGCACACTGATTGTACATTGCACGTGCGTGTTCATTGCACACTGATTGTACAATACACGTGCGTGTTGACTGTTCATTGCACACTGATTGTTAATTGCACACTGATTGTACATTGCCCGTGCGTGTTCATTGCACACTGATTGTACATTATACAGGGGTTAATATATATTTATAATATATGAGTTTGTCATTTATTAACGCCCTGATTGTACGTGTGTTTTATGCGCTTTAATTTTTGGTTAATTATTATTTAATTAATTATCAATTAACGATTTTTTGTTTTAATGCGATGTTACGGACCGCCGCCTTACTAACGGATGCCGAACAACCATAACAGACTATCGTCTGCTTCAGATGCGTATATGTGTTGCCATGGTAACAGCTGGGGAACTACGGATCGCGGTGGAAAACAAATACACTGCTTCGCTGTAGCGGTCCGCTCGGGAATAACTTAGGTGAGGTGGGAGTGGGGGCTGGCTTTGAAATCCACAAATAACATCCGTGACCTTTCACGTACTTTCGGCGATGTCTAAGCTATCGGAACGAAATGTTAATCTTCTATTGGTGCGTAAAATCGAGGGTCATGCGCGTGTAGATGTTGTTTGGATTCGTGTTAAGTCGACGGTGGTCGGTCCGTGGTGGATGCGATGACCGGCGTGGAAGGCTTCACGCCTATAAGTTTAGCAGAGGAGCGTCGCGGGACGTACAGGGATAGAGTGGGTGGGGTTTACTGGTTAAGGCCGTGATGTGTGTGTGGGGTGTGTGTGGGTGGTGTGCGTGGTGCGTGGTGCGCTGACCAGTCACGCAGTGCGGGGTTGCTGAATTTTGCGCGCCGGAATTCAGCACTGTGGCGAACCACGGACAAACTTTCGACCGACGCGCCCTGCGAGGGTGCGTAGCCCTCCTCACCCCTCTGCTCACCCCCAGCCCACCCTTACCCCTTTCCACCCCTTCTCCCTCACCCCTCCCTCACGGCCTCACTCTCTTCTCACGTCACTCCTCTCTTCACGCTCCTCAACCTTGCCATCCCTCACGCACTCCTCACCACTACACTACACTCCAATCGTGCTAAGTAATCACGTTTAATCAGGCCTGATCCGGAATAGCAGTGCTTTGGGTTCTCCCTAGCTACCAGCACCCTGCTCCATCTTCGCGATACGGCCTCATATTGGGGGCCGGGTCCAATGAGCGAGCCGGCGAGACCGTCCGGTTGTCTGCAGCAGTGGTTGGGTTGTGTGGGTGTGTGGTGTGATTTGTGCAGCGCGCGCGTGTGTGTGTGTGGTGCGTGACAGTGGGTGGGGCGGGCTGTGCGCGAGTGGGTGGTGAGGGCGTGGTGGGTGTGTATGTTAAGCATGCTGTGCGTGTGCGTGCGGGGTGGTGTGTATGGTTTGCGATAGAACGGTTGACGACGTTCGATCGTCGCTATCTCTCGGCGTGACGTGCAGTTTTGCCTTTGTCGCGCGCGTCCCTCGTTCCGCGTGTGTCGCGTATGACATGAACGCGTTTCACATGCATAACCATGGAGTGTCGCTCTCTCTCTCTCTCTCTCACTTCTCTCTCTCTCAACGGCTCGCTCGCTCTCCGCGCCGCTTCTGCTGCTCTCTCTCACTTCTCGCTCTCTCTCGCTCCGCTCTCTCTCGGCTCCTCTCTCGCTCTTAAATGTCGCGCCTCTCTCTCTCTCTCTTTCTATCTCTCTCCGCTCCCCTCTCGTCTCTCTCGGGCTCTCGCTCTCTTTCTGCTGCTTCTCTCTCTCGCTCTCGCTCTCGCTCTCGCTATCTTCTCTCCTCCTCGCTGCTCTCTCTCTCGCCTCGTCTCTCTTTTCTCTGCGCTCGTCTCTCTCTCTCTTCTGCTTCTCTTCTTCTCTCTCTCTCCTCTCTCTCTCTTCTCTCTCTCTCTCTCCCACTCCACTCCCTCTTTCTCATACAGGCGGGCAGTATGTAAGAGAAGTATTTTAGCGAGCTGGTGGTAGTTCATTGACCGTTGTAACCAGCTGTTTAATGAGACCAAATTAGCGACACAGCAGCGCACGCAGTCAGCTGTGTGGTGCGGGTGTGGGTGTGGGGGGGCGTGCGTGCGTGGTGGTGGCATTGGGCGGCGTGCAGTGCGTGGGGCTGTGGTTAGCTGGGAGGGGACGAAGTGTCGATGATGATGATGATGATGATGATGATGATGATGATGATGATGATGGTGATGTGATGATTGATGATGATGATGATGATGATGATGATGATGATGATAATTAATGATGATGAATGTAATGTATGATGCGAGGACGACGACGATGGGGATGGGAATTTATTTATTGCCCACTGACGCGTGTGTACCGTGTGGTGCGGCTTGCTGCTGCGGCGACTGCTGTGCTGCTGCTCGCTGGCTGTACCTACTATGCGGCTCCGATACTGCTGATGCTGCTTACTACTGCGAAACTGGCTGCTGCTGCCAGCTGTCGCTGTGCTACTGCGCTAGCGGCTGCTGCGTGGCTGTGCGCTAGCTGCTGATACTGCTTACTAGTGAGCTGCGGGCTATAGACTGCTGCTGCTGCTGCTGCTACTACTACTACTACTACTACTGCTGTGCTACTACTACTGTACTACTGCTTGGCTGTGGGCTGCTGTACTGTGCTGCTACTACTGCGATGCTGCAGCTGTGCTGTACTACTGCTGATACGTGACTGTGGCTGCTGCTGCTGCTGCTGCTGTACTGCGACTGGTGTGCTACTACTGGCTATGTGCAGCGGGCTGCTGCTACTAGCCTTATACTACTGCTGTGCTACGGCTACTGTGTTACTGATACTTGCTGGCTACTACTGCGTGTACTGTACTGCTGGTTGGCTACTGCTGATATGATGCTGCTCTCTGCTACGGCTGTACTGCTCTGCTGTATGACTGTGCTGCGATGTACTGTGTGCTACCACTACTGCTACTTGAGGTGCTGCTGCTGCGTTCTGCTGCTGTATGCTGACGCTGAGTGCGTGGTGCTACTGATACATATATATTTACTGCTGTACTGGTGTGGACTGCAGGCAGTGTGCTATGCTATACTGTTGCTGCTGCTGCTGCTACTACTACTTGCTGTGCTGCTGGACTGCGACTGCTGTTAATAGGCTCGGCTCAGCTGCCACCTAATTCCCGCGTGGCTGCATGGCAGGCTGGCAAACGTGGCTATTTGACTGTGGCTATCTGTTTGCGACGACGCCCCCCCGCCGTCCTACTGTGTCACATCGTGACTTGACCACCGGAATGGATTGACTCATCTTTACGTGGTCCGGCGGCTGGGTGTGTCGCGGGTCAGATTAAAGAGAGAAGTTCAGAATGTAGGAGTAGAATTTAGAATTCAGAATTTCAGAATTTAGAATTCAGTATTTCAGAATTTAAAATTCAGAATTTCAGAATTTTAGAAATTCAGAATTTTAGCTATTTAAGATGATTAAAAATGTAAGCAGTTCCTCCAGTAGCCAACCCTTCCTTGCCGCACCACCAGCACGAACCCACAAGGAGTCTTATTTTTAGCTATAGTTCGTTTGTATAATAGATTTCTCCGCTGCCGACCCGACCTCGTTCAATCTCTCTCCATTAGTACCCACATGTGAGCTCTTTCGTTCTACGATCACTCGCATAGTTAGTTATTGTTTTGTCGGTTTATTGACACCTTGGTCGGTGGCCGTAGTTGGTTGTATTGCTTTTTGATAGACGCAGTGGTGAGTGAGGTAAAGGGGCAGAGCTAGCTGAGCTAGCCGAGTAAAGCTAGTTCTTGCAACATGCTAGAGGCAATCACGCGATAGGTATGGTGTGTGACTGCAGTAGGTGAATGTAGAGAGGATGCATCCCCTATCAGTCTCTCCCTGAGAGAGAGAGTGATAGAGAGAGAGAGAGAGAGAGAGAACGAGAAAGAGAGAGAGAGAGAGAAAGAAAGAGAGAAAAGAGTGAGAGAGAGAAGAGAGAGAGAGAGAGAGACGTAAGAAGGGAGAGACTGATAGGGGATGCATCCTCTCTACATTCACCTACTGCAGTCACACACCATACCTATCGCGTGATTGCCTCTAGCATGTTGCAAGAACTAGCTTTACTCGGCTAGCTCAGCTAGCTCTGCCCCTTTACCTCAC